TATCAGTTTTATAATGATTTATAAAAATCTATGATATTGTGGATAATATTAATTATTTTAATGTGAAAGTGTGTGCTAATTAGATGATGTCGTATGATTATGATCTAATATGAGAGGAGCTCATTGAAACAGCAGGAAACAGTCCTGATATAGGCTAGCTCTGGGCGAGCGTGCGTGCGTGTCACTCATATGTGTGTACAGTGAGGTGAGTAATGAGCGCGAGAGCGGCTGTTTGTCTGAGCGCCTTCTGCTACCTCTACACTACGGGCTGGAATATGCAGACAGCGTCTCCAACAGCGGAGTCATGATCTGCCGTCTTCCCCGGGACTCGCCTTCCGCTCGGAGCCGAAGCCGAACAACATTTTGAAGCATCTGATATTTAACCAGCGGCTTTCCTTCGGGGCATCGCGTTGGTCGCTTAAACACAGCCGAGGAGGATCTTGCGCAGTGGCGGCGGACACTTCGGGTGATGTCGGCTGGCCGACACTCTTGACATCGGCCTCCGCTCGCTAACGCACAGCGGAATGGGGTAGGCAAGCTCCGCGCTCACCCACCCACACAAGCTCGGCGCAGAATGCGTACTAAACGCCGAAGCATCAAACTGTCAGTTAGCTGCATGTATCGCGGCGCGTCTGTAGCGTAGCGCTCCGGCGCTGAGCTCGCAGTCACAGCAGCAGCTGTAGGGGATCCTGGAGGTAGCCTCGCCTGCTAACTGCCTCTCTTCAATGCAATGGATGCTACTGAGCTGACGATAGGCTCGGAGTAACGTCGGGCCCGTCTCCATGTGACCGTAAAAAGACACGAAAAGCCAGGAAAGACTTGTAGCTGCTGCTTAAGAGTGAGTTAGGGTGTTTTGAGTGTCGTTTGAAGGTCTGGGTCGAGGAAAACGAGCTAGCCAGTTACAATGTCGCGACAGATTGGCAGAAAGAGGCAGGCACTTGAAGAATGTGACGGTGAATGTGGCCGCTGCTCACCATCACGTCCATGAAGTCGGTTGTCTCTAGTAATACCGTCAGCATTAAAGATGGGCTTTTTACAAAAGTGTGCTGCAGCTGACAGGGCATGCATAGGCCTACAGGACATTCGTTTCTCTTTGAAATTTGAATATTGTGCAAATGAGTGTTGTGCACACATTCAACACACTTGAATGTTTGAATGTCCTTGCATCACGCACACAAAACAACAAATCAATCCAAGAGGCATTTACTGTAAAGATAGCACAAGCAGAGTTTGTAAGCAACACATTACAGGAAGTGTGTTTGGCATGTTTTAAATGATAAAATGCACTTCAGATTGAAGATTATTTAAACATGTTCTATTGTCGAACGTTAGTGGAACATGTTCTTAGTTAAATGGGATGTTAATTTACTTAAAAGGGTCATATGATGCTTTTTTAAAGATCATTATTTGGTGTAAGCGTGTCACATTTGGGCGCATTACGCTAATATTTCCACATAGTGAGGTAGATATGTGGGGGCGTGTTAGAACGAGCCGTTTTAGGGGGGCGTGGCAGAGTCTTAACTTTGATAAAGAATATCTCTTTGGTTTTGAGACTTTAGTCTTTGCAACGTCAGGGATCTTATCTATGCACAATCAGCTTGTAACACTCCAAAGAGAAAGGAAAACTTGAAATCGCATCATATGACCCCTTTAGCATCATGTTGTTAGAAACATGTCTGCTTGCTTTCTTCCGTGGAACACGGAAGGAGAATGTTTGAAGAATGTACAGGTTGCTCCTTTTCGTGTAGTTACTATGAATGGGGATTAGCTTTCAAGCTTCAAAGAGGAGGCCAAAGTATCATAGAAGTGATTCATATGATATTCCAAAGCCAGTTTTGTGTGAGGAGCAGACTGAAATTTAACTCCAATGAGCTGTTAACTGCTGTAATTGGATCATTAAGTCAGTGAGCTGAAATCAAGAACCACGTTAGTCAAATTATTGAATGAATCATTCAAACTGGTTTTATGAAATGGATCAACAGATTGATTGAAAAGATGATTTCATTCATAAACCAGACATTTTCTCTAGTGAACTTTTGTAAACATGCAAAGGAGAGTCAGGACAGATGTCAATGACTACATATTTGTTCCGTTAGCTGTCATATATGGTTTCAGAAGGCCTAGTTGTATGGACCACTTTTATAGTTCTTTGTTTTTTTTGTTTTTTTTTAAAGTAATTTTGGCTCTTGACCGCCCCAGTACTGTAAAAAAAAGTACAGTACCCCAGTACATTAAAAAAGTGGCCAGGACATATTTCATGGAAGAAAGTCAGTCATATGGGTTTCTAAACATTGTCAGAAATTTAATTTTTTCAGTTATTCTGCTAGGACATGTGTCTGAACTTGAGGGGAACTGACTTTAATTTTCAGTAGTTGCAAAATGATTGTGAAGTGTATTCTAGTTTCAGAGAAAACAATGATATATTTTGTGTCTAATGAAGTCAAATTAAAATGTTTTTAAAGGGGCCAAGTGTTTTTTGGCATCACTGTAGCATAATTCACCTCAGTATATTATCGGATATTGTTGTGGAAAATCACATGATTGATTTATTGGAGAATCTAAAACAATCTGATGACCTTTCAAAGAGGATGTAGTCATATTTATCCTGACCGCAAGCTTTTTTGATGTTGGCATGACAACTAATGGTCTTGAAGGAATAAATCAACCATGGTCAACTTTGGAACACAGTTATTCTGCAGAATTGGACGAGCATGAACACTATAAAACTAAGACTGGTGCACTACATTCCCATTTACTTTCCAATTAATAAGCTATATATGAAACTTGTGAACCTCAAAATAAGGTTTATTAAAAGCCTCATTTACTTCCATTGTGAAGAAATGAGTGCCTGGGACTTCTGTAAAATATCTTCTCTTATATGGAAGGGAGTGTCATTCCTAAAAGAATAAAGGTTTCGAAACCTCTAAAACTAAGACTGGTGCACTACATTCCCATTTACTTTCCAATTAATAAGCTATATATGAAACTTGTGAACCTCAAAATAAGGTTTATTAAAAGCCTCATTTACTTCCATTGTGAAGAAATGAGTGCCTGGGACTTCTGTAAAATATCTTCTCTTATATGGAAGGGAGTGTCATTCCTAAAAGAATAAAGGTTTCGAAACCTTCCCACCCCCCCCCCCCCCCCCACCCCCGCACACGCACCAACCAA